GATCTCACCGGCTAGGCCAGTTTGGGGCAAGAACTCTTAATCCCCCTGCCTCAGTCTCCAGAGTGCTGGAATTATATGCATAAGCTACCACACCCAGCTTAAATGTATCAGTCTTTTAAAAATATTTATTAGATTTATTTATTGTCATTTTATGTAAGTGTTTTGCCTGCATGTATGTCTGTGCACCACCTGTGTGTTCAGTGCCCAGGGAGGCCAGGTTGTGGGGAGTTGTATCAAATCTCCAGGAACTGGAGTTACAGACAGCTATGACCTGCCACATGGATAGGTTGTGAGCTGTCAGGTGGGTACTGAAAATCGAACCTGGGTCCTCTGGAAGAGAAGCCGGTGCTCTTAACCATCTCCCCAGACTCAAATGTACTTTTCTTATTCCAAGAGCAGCAGCCTATAACTCGTGAAAGAGAAGTGAGAAAATACTGTGTCACATGGTTTGGGATGAGTACTGCACTTTGTTGTTGGAGATCATAGGCCAATTACATAATTTTCCTTATCTGCAAAGTGGAGGAGATCAGTTCTACCCAAAACAGCTGTCGTGGGGATTTTACACAAAATCTTTCCCAGAGACTGGGAGAGGAGAATGTTCAGGGGTTATTGGCTTATTTCTTAGAAGCGTATTGGAAAGGTTAAACAAGATAAGAACACAACCAGGCTCCACGAGGTAGTGGGCAGTCACTGTTCAACTCAACACTTGAGTGTGGTCTTCACTGTGCGTGCTTGGCAGCTGTTACCCTTATCTGGTGAATGCAATCTTCCAAAATGGGTAATTCAGTCAAGTCTCCACTTGGGACTTGTGTTTAATGATGTCACTGTTGTTTTTGATTCAAATGACCAGAGAGTTGGAAATGGTATTCCAGTAGGCTTCTGGAGCTCCACGTTAGAATATTGACAGAAGCGACAGTAGCGGTTAGAAGGTGATTCCTAACGACTGGTCCAAAATTCTTCTAGAAGTTCACATTCAGAAAATAATCCGAATCATAAAGCTTTGTGTAAGATGTTTAGTCATACTGTAATAGAGGAGAACAATGTAAGTGAAGCCTCTGAAATGTATGAAAATAGAACGACTGAACAAATAATCTTAGTGATGCAATTCTGTCTCAACTGTTGAAATCAAACTTTGAAGATAGCTTAAAACCATGGGGGAAATAGTTGTGTTAGACTGGTAAACTTAAAAACCAGCAAACTCAGCCAGGCAGTGCTGGCACATGCCTTTGATCCCAGCACTCAGAAGACAGAGGCAGGAGGGTCTCTGTGAGTTCAAGGATAGCCTGGTCTACATCATGAGTTTCAGGACACCCTGTCTCAAAAAAAAAAAAAAAAAAGAAAAGAAAAAGAAAGAAAAGCAACAAGCTCAATTTGGAAAGATATGAAGAAACTGGATTCTACCTGAATTATCAATGCATAAGGAAAAGGGCAATGCAGATTTTGAATGAATCTCTCTGACTTATATTGTCCTTTAAAGATATTCTGACTTTTGATTCAATAAAAATCACCTACTCAGTGTGGAATATATACTGATGAGAAACAAGACAAAAAGGAAAAAAAAAATGGCTAAAACCTTGGATGATAGGCTCACCGCAGTAACACCCCTGCTGGTTTTTTTCGGTAGTCTGAATTTTCTTCAGTGCACATATTTTGTAATCAAGAAAAATGTGAGAACAAAGGGAACAACTAGCAAATTCCCTGTCACTTTCTGTCTGTCTTGTGGCGAGTCTCTCAGCACACTCTCCTATGGGAACTCTGTGACTAAGGAGTCCTCGGTTTAGGTGATCTGTGGGAGAGTCTGCAGCCCACCAAAAGGGGAGCAGCAGTGCTCGCCGGACTCCTGGCCTCTTCTGCACAGCTTAATGTCAGTGACCAGTGTGCAGTCCTTGCCTATACTTCTACTTCTCGGCAGGATAAATTAATAATTTATCATTAAATAGGACTAAATGCTTCCTTTTTGGTGCCCATAAAGTCCCTTCAAAGCAGGACACCAGAGGTAAACTGCCGGTAACAGAATATAGCGCAGAGCGCTTTCTTTATTCAGCTCACAGTTCATCTAACACGATGGCTGGTGGATTAAGGTGAGGCTGAGTGGGTTCAGAAGCTAAGAGTCAGGTGTGATGGCACACACCTCTGTCGCCTTTGTCTTCAGAGCTTGGGAGGCAGAAACAGGCGGATTTCAAGGCCAGCCTGATCTACAGAGTGAGTTGCAGGCAGCCAGGACCACACAGAAAAACCTTGTCCCCTAAAAAAATAAGATAAAATAAAAATTTAAAAAAAAACAAAACCAAACAAACAAAGGAAAGGGAAGGGAAGGGAAGGGAAGGGAAGGGAAGGGAAGGGAAAGGAAAGGAAATCCAACAGCAAGAAGGGGGTGGACGGGAGAGACAGGCAGAGGAGGGGAGGACGAGCAATATGCTCCGTCCGGGCAGAGGGGAGTGAGGAGATACAGTATGCCTGCTGAAGCTATGAAAATAAAGACAATCGGATTGATGCAAAGATCCAGGAAAACAATAAACATATCTGAGGTGCCCACAGTGGGCCCGGTGCTGCTGACATAGCTAAATCCTCTCCATTAAGTTCTGCCTAGGTTATAGTGCATGCAGGTCAGTGGGCATGGTGATCAGCCTGCCTGGGGGAGGTCCAAGGCCAGGGATCCCTTTCCTGGCTAAACAGTGTTGGCAAGGATAAGTGCTTTGACTAGGAATGCAAAGACTGTGTCGATCTAAGGCCAAAGTGGAAATAATTGGGAGCCCTAAGAGAAGACTAAGTGGAAGGGGTAAGAGATATCTTTGAGGTGCTAAACCATGATGGATCATATATGTAGGGGATGGAAATCTGAGAACTTCAAGATCCTTTTCCTTCCTGGATCCCACTGTTGCTGATGGGATTGGTACTTCAAAAGTATCTTTGAAAAAGTATCGGCGAATCAAACCCACACCAGTTATGTTTTAAGGGGTTATTTATTTTGGGGGGTAAAACTTACATACACCATAAACCGTCAGGAAGGGAGCCTAGTCGCTGGAGCAGGAGCCGGGAGCAGGAGCCGGGAGCAAGCACCGGAACCAAGAGAGTCTGATCCGGATCTGCTTCTCTTTTTAAAAGAGAAATATACCACGCCCCAGTGGGCTGGTATTTCAGCAGCTATTGGCTGACGGAGTGGAAGTCGCTCCCCGCTGCACTGTGGGCTCGTATTTCAGCGACTATTGGTTGAGGCAGCGGAAGTTACTCCCACAACAAAAAAGCAGAAATCTGAAGCTGGAGAAATAGCTAAGTGGTTAAGAACACTGTCTGCTCTTTCAGCAGTTTCAGGTTCAATTCCCAGCACCCACATGGTAACTTACAACTGTCTATAACACGAGTTCTAGGAGATCCAAGGTCTTCTTCTGACCTCCACAGACACCAGACATGTATGTGGTATATGGATGTACATGAAGGCAAAACACCGAAACACATAAAAAATTAAATTAAAAACTTAAATAAAGCAGACAAACTATCCTACTTGGGGCTCTAGGGAAAGGTGGTTTGCACAGTAGTAGAAGACTGGGTGTCAGCTGATTCATTCATTTCCTCTGGGGATTAGGAGTTCTGCTCCCAGGGTGGTTCTCTGGAGATTCTGGCCTCATTGCACCACAGAAGGACAGCAAGAAGACAGGGGCTCACATCATCACTGATCAGGGGGAGACATGGGTCTTGGAGCCTGTTCTCCAAGACTGACATTCAAAGAGAAGGAAGTGTGCATGTATGTTTGTGTGCGGGGGGGGGGGGGGGGGGGGGGGCCTGCCTGTGGGAGCTTCAAAGAGGGATCTCAGAGCCTTTTCGTTGTCTTATTAAAAAGATTTCATCCACTTGACCCACTTTGCCGCAGGGGATATGCCCAACAATCTAGGCATGTAGAAAAAGCCAGAAGTGCCAGATAAATCAATGCAGAAAATGACTTCTCCTTTAATTAGTAAACACAGGAGGAGAGTAGCAGAAAACGTGGAATCTTTCTTTCTCTCCCGCCTCCCGATTCAATTAGAATCATGTGCTGAACATAAACTTCTTTTTTTTTTAACTGATGAGAACCAAAAACAACAGAAAACAAAATCATGGCCTATAAAATTTAAGTGACTTTTTCTGTCACAGTGGCTGAGTCCCAAAGCCGCTGCTGTTCTGCTCAGGGACAGCACCTCTGTCTTCCCTGACAGACCCACTCCACAGCTGCCTCCTCTCCACCTTGGACCATGACTTTGACAAATGGCTTAAATCCTGAAGCATGAGGCATAAGGAAGTCTTACAGAGTCTGCTTCATCCTCAGAGAAGGATTCTTACTTCGGTGTCACCAACTTAACTCATTGGACTTGTGGAAAAGAGTTGTTTTTATTAATTTTATTTTATTTATTTACTTATTTTAAGTGGACCCGAGGAACCGGCAGGTTCAGATCACCTGAAAATTAGAGTAATTCTTGCCTAGCACAGACCTACTGAATCAGAAATTGGTTAGGTGGACCCTAACCATCTGGGTTGTAACAATTTGTCCTAAGAAATTCTGCTACAACGGGTTTGAAAACTGCTGTTGTGGATGTTTTCTGTCCTTCCAACACAGAGGTAACGAACTAACTCTGCGATACCACTCCCAACCCCCTTCCCTAGGATGATGAATGGAGGTCAAGCCAAGGACCTGGCAAACCCTTCCCAGCCAACCCAGAATCTGGGAAGGCTGCCTGATGGCTTTGCCGTGATGAGGTCTCTTATCGTTTCCCTAATTGTCCCGCCCCCACATTTTGGAGGGGGAGGTTTCCCTGCTTTTGTTACTTGTGATTTTTGTTTTTACTTATTTATCTGGCAGTGTTTTTTTGCAGAATGAAAGAGACATTGAGAGGCGGGTGTTAGAAAGGGGCTGGGGGAATATAGACTGGTGGCCATAGGGTTGTGCTGACCAGAGGAAGGGTCCAAGGTGAAGCTAAGCAGGGTAGAAGGAGCCCCGAGAGAGGGGTAAAGCACTTTCGATGTGGGCAAGGGAACGAAGTTGGAAGGACCGAATGAGTCTAACGCGGAGCAAAGAAAGTAGGCGATAAGGAGAAAATTGCCCTAGAGTTTAGGGGGACTGTGTGTGCATGTGTGTATGTTTTCCCCCAGTTTCCTTTCCAAGACATTTTCTTTGCTCCCTTTCGCTCCTCCCCCTCCTCTCCGCCTCCGCGGCTCCCCTCCCCTCCCCGAGCGGTAATGGGAGGCTCCTAGGCAGGAGAAGCAAAAGAAGGAATTGTTTGCAAGTTCACTCATCCAAAAAAGCGTCTTCCATATGGAGGGATTGGGTGCGCTGGGCGCGGCGTCTCTTGCCTTGTCCTCCTGCTGCCGCTGCTGCCACCACGGCTCCCGCTTCCTGCAACGGGGACCCTGAGCTGGGTTTCGCTGGTGTCAGCTCCGGCCGCGCTCACACACGCTCGCACCTCGTACCCGCCGTGGCCACACAAGCCTCTCCTTCTCGGCTTGCAACTTCTGGGTCTCGGGCTCCTTTGTTGCTCCAGCTGCCGCTACTCTCCCGTGGTGTGTGTCCCCGTGTATCACCGCTCTGTGCGAGTGTGTCGGTGCTGCGCGGGGCCGTGTGGCCCTCTCCGCGCCGCCACGCGGAACCCAGAACCCCGGCCCCCTCTTCCCAGGCTCCGGCTGCTGGAGAGGTGAGTCATGTCACTGAAGTTTGTTTTCTTTTCATAAAAAGTTGTATTTATTTGTTGGTTTGGGGATTGGAGGCGTGTGGGAGGCAGTCGCCCGCCCGGTGATGCGGTCGGCTCCTGCGAGCGCTGCTGCCCCGCGCGGGCTCCGAGCGCTGGGCTGCGGCTCCCACTGGGGCTCCGGGTCGGGGCTCCTAGTGTTTGACTGGGATTCGGGCTTGGGCTGAGTTGAGGCTCCGAGTGTTCTGCTGGGGCTCAGATAGGGTTTGGATCCCTGGGCTGGGGCTCGAGCACTGAGCTGGGGCTCGGACTGGGGCTTGAAGCGCTGAGCTGGGCTCGGGTTTGAGCTTCGATCGCTGATCTGGGCTCTGACTGGGGCTCCGAGCGCTCGACTGGCTCCAGCTAGTGTCAGGGCCTGACGCTGCACGAAGTTCCCGGGGCCGCCTCTGCTTGTGCTCCGCTGCCCGGCTCAGGGCCGCCGCGCCTCCCTCTCAAGCCCGGTCTGGATGATTTTGCTCCCGCGGTTTCCGGAAGCTGCTCCGGTGGTAGGAGGGCGCGGACATCTTCCCAAACTTACCCCGAAGGCTGACACTGTGCCCCGGCTGCCCAGCCAGGCGATGGGAACAAGTCTATACCCAACACCCATTTGCCTCTTTGAGAGGAGAGTTACCACTAGCGTTTTGAAAGGAAAAACTATTTCTAAATAAGGGACCGAAGGTGACCAAAAGCTAAACTGCCCTCAAAGAATCCCCTTGACTGGACGGTGGATCGGGGAATCTGAATTGGCATCCAGAGGTGTTTTGGGGGCTGAAGGATCAGCAAGAGGTGTGTGTGTGTGTGTGTGTGTGTGTGTGTGTGTGTGTGTGTGTGTG